TGCGGTAGTTTCGGGCTTTAGCTCTCTCTCTCGCTCTCTCTGTCCTGTCCTGTCCTGTCCTGTCCTGTCCTGTCCTGTCCTGTCCTGTCCTGTCCTGTCCTGTCCTGTCCTGTCCTGTCCTGTCTGTCTGTCTGTGTCTGTGAACATTTCTTCAAGGTGGGTTTGCCAGAACGAACGCTTGAGGGACATCGTGCCATGACCAAAGGCCCAGAGGTTTCGCCAGTGGTTCCAGGATATGATACTCAAAGAAGCTCAGACCACGACCGTGGCTCTGGGTCTCAGTGCGGCGTGCACTGTCGCGGCTTCTCGCAGCCCGCATGCAACACGCCAGTGGCCGCCAGTGTCAACCAAGGCACTACTTGGCTTCCCACATCAGCGTTTGGAGGGCGAGACTGGGCTTCAAGCTGACAGGCCTGTCAGGCCTATGGGACAGGTGAAGCAGATAGAGTCCTTTCCATTTGCAGAGCGTAAGCTCAGGAGACCGAAGAACTTTACTCCATGGCTTGGGGCTGGCCGGGTTCGGCCTCTCGGATCGATCAGTGGGGGTCATTGCAACCCCCGTGTCTCCAAAGCTCCACGCTGAGCTGAGCAGAATGTTCAAACCGTTCCCCAAACAGAGACAATCACATGCAGCTCGTGAGGGTTGAGGCACCGGGATCCAGGTGTATGCGACAAGTAAGAAGTTTTGAACGTACAGGACAGTGTTGGTGGCATTGTGGTGCACTGCAGCATGCGCAGTATACCTGTTGGGAGAGGACGTCTTCTGCGGGTCTACGGAGCCATGCCCAGCTGTGCCGCCGAACCTTGAGGGTGTGATGATCGGCCGGGGCGCTATGAATTCTCCCTGCGTCTAAGCTGCGGTCAGTTTTTTTCAACTTGGGTGGCTGCGCTGAGTAAGTTTGAAAATGCTCGTTAGACGGGCTCTTTCTCCATGGAGTGCTCCATAACCCACGAGTTTGCCGAGGCATGCTTTGGGATGTGGATCACAGTTCCTTGGAGTTTCAGACAAGATGCACCAATCAACGGCACTGTGTGCCCAAAAGACAGCTGATTAACCTGCAGAGAGTGCAGAGATTCACCGTGATCTTAGAAATTTCTTGCCTCTCTGGTCCTGGATTGAGGCCTTTATGGCGAAGAGAAGCGGAAGCCAATGACACGCCGTGAACTTCTCGAGGGCTACAAAGAGCAACTTGGTCACAGAGACTCCTTGCATTGTCGTGATGCGGCTTAGTGTGCCACTCGTTTTGTACTGCATATATCCATGGGTCCGCCAGTGTCCCATCTGCTGGCAAGTTGGACGCCCGCATTGATTGCGTTGCCAGTGCATGCGAGTTTCCTTCGGATCCGATGTTACCCCAAGTGTGCAGCTGCCCGTGTTATGGGCTGACAAAGTCTACAAGAGCCCTTTGCTTGGCAAGCGAGGTATTTGCAGGATGCACATACGGACGGCACTTCCGTGGGGTCGATCCACCTGGCTTTGAAGCCGACCCTGGGAATTCTTGCAGGAATTCGCGGAAACAAGGCGAGGAGTCCATCTGCAGCATCGGATGCTTACTTAACGATTTTTCTGCAGAGGCCTACCGTGCTACTGCAGACAAAACTATGCGGCGGAAGGATGTTGCTGAGCGACTCGCCAGTAGATCGAGAGCAAGTCGGGGCACAGTGTTCTGTTTCACTGTAGCTAAGCTCGATATTTTGTTAGTCAGCAACAGGGATTCCCTGCTGTTTTCCCGAACCGTTCCCCTGTTCGAGTTGGCTTCTGGGTCGTCGGTGCAACACCGACTTGCAAAGTTTGAGTTGGAGCAGGTTCGTAATGATTTGGTTTGGATGAATCCTTTGCGGTGCGTTTGGGTGGTATTGGGACTAGTCTAGTCGCTTCAGCTTTCGAGTCCTGGTAGCCTGGTAGACGGTATGCTGATTTTCAGAGTGACTTGCATGTCGTTCTTCCCTCAGACCTTCGGATTTGGGCATTCTCTCCTTAGAAAGTGTTCGTGTGAAGCTCATCAACAAAATCTGCGCGTGTGTATTGGTTTTCATCTATCTGTCTGTCTTTTTGCTTTTTTGGGCGCTTTCTCTCCGCCTGCCTTTCTCTCTCTCTTTCTCATTCTCGCCGCTCTCGCTCTCTCTCTCTCTCTCACTCTATCGGCTGCACGACCGGGCCCGGCATCAGCATCTTCCACTATTACCGCTCAGGATGGGTCCTGCCTATGTTCTGGAAGCAGCCATCAAAGCTGTGGACGAGGCAAATCCAGGCTACGCCGAAGCCTGTCTTCAAGTCGAGAGCACGAGACCATACGAGACTCCCATGTACAAACAGTATCTTTCTCTTCATGCTCCTGTCCTGCCTGCGGTGGATGGCGAAGGCGTTTATTGTCAAACGACAGGCGTGCTGGATGAAGCGCTGCCCGCGACGGTGGCATTCCGGCAACCCCCGGCAGCTCCCAGGCTTTTCTAAGCATTCTGACCGGCAAACGCCGATAAAGCCAGTAAAGCACCTATGGCACGAATTCCGGCGACAGAGACTTGCATCGACAAGTTCCTATTAATTAGTTTGGGGCTACATCGTTTCTTTTCGAGTTTCAACCCAGAACACTTTCCGAGGCAGACACCCCGCGTGGGCAGAAGCGCAAACCAGCAGAGGTGGTGCCGCCAGAGGCCTTGAGCTATCTGTCACAGATCTTGCGACGGGGAAAGTTCTGTTATAGCAGAGGCAGAGGGCGTCGCCTTGACAGCTTGGGGCGAGGATTTGTGGAAGTTTAGTAGTCCTGGGATGATCTCGTGGAAGGGGTGGATCCGTCATGTTGTTCCATCTGGACCTGACAGCGGCTTGTTGTGCGCAGCTTGCCCGCTGCAAGCTGAGACGTCTTCATTAATCAAAAGGAAGCTGCAATGCACCGAACACGACATCTGTCGGCTCGTGTTGCCGTAGGGCACGGAACGAGGTGGAGCCTGACTATGTTAAACCCTGACTAGTGAGTCTCCCCCCAAACTGACCTTTTCATAATTTTTAAATGGCAGCCACTCCGCAACTACTATATCACTATCACGGCCACTACTCCGACTACTAGTATGATTAAATTCCTGCCTAAGGCCTAGGATGTTCCAAAACAAGCCAAAAGCATAACATCAGCATCTCAGAAAAAGCACAAGCACAAACAACATAAACAAAACAAACATAAGCGCAAAATGGCATCAGCAAAAAACACAAGCAAGAACGCACATGCAGAAACACGCATAAGCACAACACATAGTCACAAAAAGGCATAGGCGCAAACAAGCATAACACCAACACCAACACCAACCAGCACGAGCAACAGCAACAGCAACA